TGTCCAGGGGGGCCCCGGCCCCACGGGTGCTAGGTGGCCCCACGGGTGCTGGGCTGCCCCTGCACACTGCCGGCGCTCATTGTCTGCCTGCTCTTATTATAGCCCCATTCTTCCTCCGCTTCCTGAGAGCGCACGAAGCGCCGCTCGGCTGCCGGCTATATGTTGTGCTGAGATCACGTAAACACGTAGCGAGAGGAGCCCGGAGGGGAGCCGCTTGGCTTGGGGCACCCTGAGACCCATGCCATAGCACCCCACCACTGCTAACTGGTGGCCCCAAGCAACCCTGCTCCGGGGAACGCCTGCCTTTAGCTGGAGTGCAACGGGGAGAGCAACCTTTAGTTTGCAGCAGCTATGGTGTCCTCTGCGTGTGCTACCCAGCTCCTGGGCTGGGGGCTCTGCCCTTCCAGGCCCCTGAAGTGCCCCGGGGTGCTCAGGGCACAGCACCATCCTGGAAAGTCACCGACAGAGAGAACGGACCGGCTGCTGGCAGCGGGGCCGAGGTTACCCTGAGCAAGGGCTGCAGACACCGAGGCAAGGGGGAGCTGGCGTTGGGCAATGCGCAGGGGCTGGTCACGCTCTGTGGTGGTGCTGGGTGCTGCTGGGACTGCTGGACACGCCAGAAGCTTCGGCGGGGGGATTGCAGCTTGGCAAGGTCCTGGGGGGGGGCGTGTAAAATGCCTCTTGTCTGATTTTGCAATTCTGCTTTGTGCTCCTTGCTGCTGCGAAGCTCCCTTTGTGCAACTGCTGCTAACGAGCCCCCGAATGCGGAGCGTGGCTGTTCTTTGACAAAGCCGGGATCAGGGAGGCTCTGAGCACCAGCGGAGGTTGCGTTTGGGGGATCAGCAAACTAAGCCAGAGAGCGCAGCGGCTGACAGAGCCCACGATACTGCCATCCCTGACACGGGGCATGTGGGGGCACACAGAACCCTTCCACAGCCTCGCCTTGCCAGTCCTGCTGCCCTCGTGGTCACCAGTCACCTGCAGGGTCCACAGTTTGGATGGAGATGCTGATCATGTCCCAAACCATTTGACTGAGGACCACCAGGAGCTCGGCGCGTTCCGGCAAGTTCCCCCAAAGGGCTGGTGCATACGCAAGGATGGGCTGGGCTCCAGGCGGGTGATCCAAACCTGGGCCATGTGCAGAGCATCTCTGCTGGATGTCGGGGCCGTAGGTGAGCAGAGCCCCTTGCCTGTGCGTGTTTCATGGGAACGCGCGGGGCAGAAAGGGGCATCGTGGGCGCACGTACCACGGGGACGTGCGTGGCAGGAATGAGGAGCAGGACAACACGATGGTGGGAATGTCCAGCATGGGAGCAGCCCAAGCCCTGGGTTTCTCACGGCTCAGGGCCCGGGGATGCCGTCCCTGGAGCTCCCCACGCCTCGCCCTGCCCCGGCTCCGG